GGAAGAAGGGTCGACCGGGGTGGGGGGAGGGGGGGCAGACAAGGAACGCAATTGATAAAAATATAATTCAGCGTATTATGCATCGTCGTTGTACAACATAAAGAGTGAAACGATGCAAACAGAATTATTTTGTTTACACACCATAGTAATAATATATTATAAGAGAGCAGACATTCTTCTCAGCAGACATGCGATTTTCTCTTAAATCACATAATAACAGCCGACACAATACGATATAATATAAGTACATTGCCAAATCCCTCCCCCCCCCCAAGAATCAAGACGTGCTCATTATAATGTGAGCACTAAATAAATAATATTTTTCGAAAAATAACTAAATCAAAATTATATTGTTTCTCGAAAGGCGCATTACTCCTGATATGATAATAATAATAATAATAATAATAATATTATTATTATAAACGGTATACCGTCAATTTTGTTCGTTTTTTTGGGAGAGAAAATGTGCTTAGAGAATAATAGAATTACCCAATCATGTATTATTTCACCACAGTATATCAACTACTATATCCGCTTAATAATTATTTTAATACAATAAACGGGGACAGCGTTAAAGAGATTAACTTAACTGAAGTCACAAGTTACTGTAACGAAATTAGTTTTTAAGAAATGTTATTACATTTTAATGTAAGTAATTTGGACGTAATTTAAGTTACCTACTTTTGTAGGAAAGTTACTAAATTACTATTGAATTTATTTTTTAAATATATTTTGAGAACCAATTGATAATAAGTATAATATGTAAAAACTAAATATACCATATTATTATAAGTACGAATTTCCGATAATAAAATTGTTGTTATAGCAAAAAAATTATTATTGACAAATATATTTTATTTTGAATAAGTTTGCAAAACGCATGGATATTTTTGAAAAATTTAAGAGAAAAGATTAACTCTTCGGACAATATTAATATTATTTTGGTTTATTAAATTAAAATTGTGTATAACTTTATAATGTTGATTGCCATTACTTATTAATGTATTAACAACATATTATTAAGCTCCAGTGGTCCTATATTTGAAAGTAAAATGTAAGTATAATATTGCAATGAAGTTTTTTTTTAACTCAAAAGTATGATTTAACTTGTCCAAATAGAAAAAAGGTAACTATTAGGAATAATTTAATTAAAACTATACAATAACTTTCTCAACACTGGACAATGGATTTCGGCCACCCAGCCACCTCCCCACCACACAAAAAATAAAATAAAAGTCGTGCTACTTTGGTTCACGAAAATAATATATTAAAATATATGTCATATTTTATTGTCATCATATTTATGATGAGTAACTTCATACCGATACCGCGGAATACCCTGTGCCTAGTATAATATACTTAGTAGTTAGTAGCATTAATTATATTATTATATGTTTGATTGTGGGCGGTGAAAGATATATTATTATATTTATTTGGTCAACAGCTGGAATGGAGGCAGTGTTGTTGTTGAGTGCAAACGATTTTCGCGCACTTCGTTTCCGCGCAGCACAGAACAATGCTCGTAGTACCGGTACCCAGGTATATAATATCATAACACTCAGATATGGTAAGCTGCCTCGTTGTTGTACATAATAAGTACGCGAGACAAAACGAGGGACGCGAATAACGGTCACGGAGTACAATGATAATGTACACATACACACAAATACCTACATAGAAGGCACAGCACAATAATATTATAATATCTTTGTTATATCTAATAATGCGATATACACCCCGCCGCTGATGGGGAGGCGAATAGGGGAGGGGAAATTCGAGAGGCAATCACCTCCGAGTTATTATATTGTTTGTTGTTGTTGAACTGCTCTAATCCCGTTTACAGATTTTTTGTTTATTTTTTTCTCGTCGTGAGCACAATAGTATAATATTATAATAATTGGCGGATAACTCTCTGAGCCGGCGGCGAGCGTTGGCCAAACTCCGACCTGACAATCGTTGTGTTCATAACAACGACATTGAATCGGACAAATAATTCAATATTTATGTATGGCGAGGGTAAAATATGTGGACAGAGATCGCGAAATAATAATAATAATTTCATTCATCCAGACTGCCGCGGCCTTCGACCGAATGGCAGTTGTAGACATGCTGCGCAGCACAAATAATAAGAGCACCTGCTTATTATAATAAGGATAATATTGTTATCACGAAGAAGTCAGTTGTAGGTGTAATATAATACCGTGATTAATAATATACTTTTATAATATCATAAGGTCTACCACTGGGGGACACTTGAGCGAAATTATTGAGGGGAGGGGCTTCTATAAATTGCCAGGTCCGGCAGACTCGAAAATATTTATGAACAAATGAAAACTATAGGTATAATACCTGTGATATGTAAAAATCAGTAAAAATGCGTAGTTCGATGGAAGAAAATCAAACGCATTTTAATGAATATCAATGTTTGAATAACAATTATCGTATCAGTCTGTCAATTAAATAATTATTCTCACCATCACATTGACATCGGTCAACATTTCAAACGATCCATAGACTACTCTGTATATACATTACATAATTTATTACGTGCTTGAGCATTGGCTGGCAATATTATTACGTATTTATGTAGCTTCGAGTCAATAATAAACAACCAGATAAATCCCGCTGGCCTATAAAACTTTATTATTTAGTTTTTTGGCCGAAAATGTATACGTTTTGCTCGTAAAATATATGGCGATGCTAATCCGACTGGTGCGAAGACATCTTCAAAAGTCCTTGTTACTTTTATGAAATATGTATCGGACTGCATTCAAACCACCAAATCCCAACCCCTCTTCCCCGCCCTAAAAAATAAAAATAAATAAAAATTGAAAGGCCGTGTTAAAAAAATAATATGCAGCAGTCGTACCACGACTGTAATATTATTGTCCGTCAGGATGATTCAAATGCATTCCGCATGTGTACAGCACTTTAATAATATAAACGACAAACATTAAAATGACGACGACGACGATAACCACTGCGAGGATGTCGGGTATGGTTAATGAATATTAATAATAAACACCCTTCTCTCGAATATTTCCACGAAATTCGCACTACGGACGAAAATTATTCTTCGATCACGACGCTGAGACAACCGCGGCAAAGCGCATAACCGAAATCCTACTTAACAATAAAAAATTTAAATACAATTACCTACATTATTTATTTGATATGGTGATAGGAGCGACATGCATATCGTATTATTTATTGTCCACGAAATATTAAGGTTTGTTCAAAACTGGCTTCCAGGCAGGTACTGCTGACGTTTTTGTGGTTTGAGGCTTCACAACTCCTAATCATTTAAAAACTCATATTTGAAACATTTTGATTTTTAAAGCCTGTATGACTCGTTTTGAACATAAAGGTTAATTAAGTTGATCCTAATACCAATATTGTGTTTGTTGATATAACCATTAATGACTTTGACGTCAGATGTAAACCGTACGAGGATGGAGCACAACACCAAGCAAAAAACAAACAAACACATAGTCACCCCTCTATGAAATTGTATAGGGCTCCGTGTCAACGTGACATTTGTTTAGGACCCTATTCTACTGGTACGTCTCAAAATCCTACCTATGTGTAATACGAAACTGTGGCAAATAAGGTTCAAGATTAAATTTATTATTATTATACACTCGATAGTTGACAATGTCCTGGCGTTTGGAAATGTTGGTCGAGCACCCTGCGGTGAGTGGGTGTAATACGACTCAGAGAAAGTTAAAGCTCAAAACAGTACCGTTGGCAAATATTGCGGAAAACGTGTGAATCTCCCAAAAGTGGACATCCCGAAAACAAGATGTATAGGTACTATTGAGAATAATATACAACGAGTCATTGTTGGATATAGTTTTTATAATTTTTAGATTGTTTTGTATATTAAAGGTATTTATTACAACTAATAACGACATGACTATAAATCATCGTACCTACAGGTACATATATTATTGAACTAAATTAAACTTGTCTAATGGAATAGTTCGAATGGTAACTGTACAGAAGTAATTTAAAATTACGGTACAAATTTTATGATCCTATTAAGTTGTAATGTTGTATTTATATAAATACACGTATAGGATGTCGAGTATAAGTATAGTATAGGTAAGCGTGTATTCAACACTTAAAATAAATAAAAAATAAATAAATAAATAAATATACAAATATTAAAAAATATTAATTAATACCTTTCATTGATTAAATCCTACGAGAGTAATGTGTAGGTAAAGCAGACGATAATGTGGAAACGTTGAACTAGCAGTTATTGAAAATTACGTAAGTTAACATACACAATATTGAGGTCTTGGTCGAAGGATATTTTTCTGACGAGAGTTAAAAATAGGTCATCGCTTTGACTGCAGTCCACCAGTAATTCAAATAGCAATTGGGCAAGGTGCGGGTTCCTGGTTAAAGTTAAATATCGAATTGTCGAATGTTTGGTAGCGCTAATGTAAAGCCACTAAGTTCGAGTCTCAAGTACAAGCAATAATGCGATATTGGTGTATAGGTAATACTGACGGGTGTGAAAAAATCGCCAGGTTTAAAGAGGGTATCCGTTGATGGAAATTGGCAATTTACTTTTAAAGCTATCCTAAACACGGCATCAGGTTTGAAAGAGATATTCGGTAAGGCGGTAACTGGGGTCCCGCTTTAATGAAAGCGCGACTTTAAAAGTTTTCTGTTTTCGAAAGTTTGTACAAATCGTGATCATTCGTATGAAATGATAGATAATCGGACGGAAACGTCGAAACGAGAGCTTAAAACTGCCTACGTACGCACCTACACTGGGAAAGACGACCCAAAAGTTCTAAAAACCGGCCAAGGTCCTGCGTGACGTCAGTAAAACATATTATTGTACATCGTCCAGAGACGTCTGTGACATGACGTCGGCGTTACGACAATTTTTCGACGGCACGACGACGACGGCTGTCGTTATTGTTATCAATATTAAATAGTGGATAAAAAAATTCAATTTTTTTAAAAATCATCTTTAAAAGTACCTCTATTGGCGGCGTATCGATCCAACTCTCGCTGGCCCTCCGCGCCATGAGCGCGGGGCTAAACAGCAAGTTTTCGTCCTCCTCGTCATCGTCGGCAGAAAAAAACCACGACATGATGATGATCGACGACGGACCACTAAAAATATACTACGCGCCGATGTCTCGCTGACGAATATCTACTGCCGCGTAATATTATATGTTACCATAATAACGAAAAAATGAAGGTTGTATTTCTGAGGCGGTTTCGCCGGCGATTGTATAAACGATATAATATTAAACTGCTTTTTTTATTATCGCGCGAGCAGAGCTGCTGCAGATGGCCTGAGGGTAACTATTAGGGGGGTGCGAAAGATAAATTCACCACCGCCGCCCCCGATCGGAATTCGAAAACACTCGAAGTTTGCAGCCGATCCGTTCGCGAATATGGCACTCGGCGAACTGTGCGACTCAAAATTATAGTTTTGATGAATAATATTAATCGTCGTCCGTCCGCGGTTTTCGGCACCGCTATTTTCTCTCTCTGTTCTCGCGTCGCCACGACACCGGAGTCTGTTTTCGTCCCGACTGGATGCCAATCCGTCGCAGAACAATTATTATTATTATTATTATTATTATGTTATTACGATATCACGGCACGACGCCCGCGACGACAGACGACCGCGGATGACTGCGGGAACTCTGTCGCCCGGCGGACGTAATATTTTTTTTAATAATATCATACATCGCAATAATGCGTATTTTTTATTTGAATATTATCAGCAGCTTGGCAGACGACTCGCCGCTGCGCCTTGCCGTCTTACACCTGGACGAAATCCAAATTTATATTTAGCCCGGTGCCCGGCGGCCCACGCTCGTTCAAATCGGTTCATCAATGAGGACAGTTTAAAGGTTTTCCCCTCTCCCGCGTAGTCGTCGTGTGTGCGGTCCGAGAGGCGCCAAACGATTTTCGACGGTTTTAGCGAGACTATACGTGGGGATGGGGGTGGAAAAGAAAATATACAATATTGCGCAATGTACCTGTACACACAGCTTGACTTTGGGAAAATTGAGATTTTTGCTACTTTTAGTCCATACACATGGCTATTTGAGTGTGTCTTGGCGGCAGGGATATGACGTGTATATAATGTATGCGCTTGAGTTTAACCGAAATAGTTGTTCAAAACAATTAAAAAATTATTCATGTAACTATTGTGAAAACCGTCCAAATAGTATAAACTAATAGACCGTGGCCTGAAATCAGTATCAGCGGTTTACTCGGTTTCAATAGATTTGAAACGCGTATCGTAGAAAACATACAAATTGTCAATAGGTTAAGACTGGACTTGAAAAAAAAATATTGTCTTACTTTAATGTTTTAGTTTGTTTTTGCGTTTATGTTATAATAGCCTATCATGCGTAATTTTTTTTCCAAAGTTCAAAATCGGTCTTAAAGGAAGTTTCAAACTTTAAAAATTATATAATTTGTGACAAGAATAATATTTTCAAATAAATGTTGTCATAACCAATGGGGTGGGGATGGAAGAACCGACCGCGAAGAGAAAATATTATCCAATATCGCGCAAACAATCGTTTGACGAAAAATTTGGAATTTTTGCTTCGGATAACTGCATTTATTATACACAGAAGGAAATATCATAAGGGACTGAGGTTGCCTGTAATAGTTTTCTACAATAATTAATAATATTATTATTCATGTAACTTGGACAAACTGCACCTAAAGATAATATAAAAGCGCATGCACTCAAGAGACAGACCAAAAACCTGTGGTAGCGGCTTACTCGGTTTCAATACAAATTAAATGCATATTGTACAAAAATATAAAAAATGATAAATTATCAATAACTTAAGAAGATGTCGGCACAATATCTGTTGTTTTTTTTCAGAAGCAATTGCAACATAAAGACAAAATACATTTACCTAAGACCGTTTATTTTTTATGATTTTTGAGTAATTGTAGGTAGAGCAAAATAACCTATTACAAAAATGATAGAAAATTATCTATGAGTATTTTTGGGGGTTTGACATATCGATGTTATATTTTATTATTAGTTGACTTCATACTCAGTTTTAAATATTAAAAAAATGTTTTGTAAATGTATAAATGGTCATTAAAATGTTTTGAAACAATATTTAGATGATTAATTGGTACGTCGTATCCTAAAAATTAGTATTCGCTAAAATTGTTATAATCAGTGATTTTACTCTTAAGATTCCTCAAAATCGAAAATAAATAAGAAAAAGAATTTGTGTAAATATAGATTGTGTCTGAGTTAGCTACAGAGAGGAAACAGACAGCGCAGTGCTCTGAGTGCATTCTCTTAGAACAGAACTTGAATTTAAAACAAAACAAAATAACGCAAAAAAATGTTGACATACTTTTATGTTTGATGTTACTCAAAATCACTTTACTTTTGCATTTAATGTAATAAACATAGGAATATAGTATATAATATTGACATGGACTATGGAATGTCCAATTTTATTTTCCCTAGTTTAAAATATACCTGGATGTGAGTTCCAAACTTTGAAAGTTGTATAATTGTATATTTATCATTTAGAAGCACTAAAGAATTTTTTTTTTTTTAAATATTAAATTCATGATATTATTACAATTAAATGAAAATATTTTCTCGTGTCGTTAATATTCAGCCAACGTGGCGCCTTTGGCACGAGTTCCAAATGTTTACCACCTGTGACTTATTATTATCGCATTCCGTTTAACGTTGTTTTTTATAGGTAAGTATTGTTACATAATTTCAAATTTTACCATTCTTCCAATTCATCATTTTTGACTGCAAAATATATAGTCACTACATTCTTTTGATTTTATTCTATTTTAAAATATAATATATTCGTAAAATTTCATCTACAAACTTATAATTGTCCCAAGCATTCCATATGAAGTCTATTTGTTGAATGCGGAATACCCGCAAAATTAACGAAAATATAGTTCTAAAAATAAGTATAAATAACTATGAACAGTAACTGTTGTTGAATGTAAATAACTAAAATCACTTTTCGTTTATTAACGAAAAATAAGAAATCGTCATTATTCTGATACATCAACTATCGTTTAAAATACTATATCTAAATGTTATATTAAGTTTGGTTTTATGACATTCCTAAATTTTTATTAGTTTTTAAAATAGTTTTAAATAGTAATAGTTATTTTTTTTTTTATTTCCAAGTATAATGTTGAAATTATTACGTTATCAAACCCTGACTTTTACTAACGTCCAACATGACGTGTGGGCTTATAATAAGTAACAAAATACATTTACTGTTTCCAACTACGCGATATTATTTTGTAATATTATAGTAATCCGATTATAATGACGATAACAGAATATTGATTTTTAATCCTGCAAAATACGCTTTGAAAGTAGTAAAATTTGTTGATATAATATTATATATAACTGAAATCCTATATAGTTAAAACTTATAAATATATATTATAGAATGGATTTTTATTATAAGCTTTGTTTTGTTATTTTAAGTACAACCTTTTTCAAAAATAAATCCCATTTTATAACACGATAGTAAAACCCGATAAGTTTAGGGTACCTACCTATACTGTAATAATTTTATGCATGTACTCAAATTGCTTTATAATCATGTATTGAGTCATTACAAAAATACATTTTTGTTTATAAAGAAAAATGTCCACTATATTGTTCATAATTTGCATACAATTAAAAAATTCATATTTTTTTATTATATAATTATTATGAATATAATTGTTATTTATAATATTGTGAAAAATTAAAAATGTCCTCTATAAATATAATTCCAATGAGATAAGGTCCTGTCTCATACGTAGTAATTAATATTAGCTTTTCGGTGTACACAAAAAGTTCTTTGAGAAAGATCAACTGCTTCATTTATTTTTATCCGATGACCCCATACAGGCGAGATTGAAGGTAATCCAACCATGATTGTGGTTACCCCTTGATCGTTCGAGAATGTCCAAGTTTCAGATATTGCATAATATCGTAAAATAAATTGAGCTTTTTGTAGATGGAACTTGTGTCTAATGGAAATGAGTTAACATGGAACAGCATAATCAATAAATCGATATAATTTTATGAAATTGATTTTTCGTAATGTTGTTGTTGGAAACTGCTGTAAAGAGACAAAGAACCGTTGACAAATTAAATAACTTTTGTTCTAATCTATATAATTGATAGACTGTGTAGCTCTTCAAGTTCAGTATACATTACAAGTATACAAGTAGAGAATAATTTTTTTTGATAAAAATTCAAAATAGTCAATTTATAATTATAATTTTTAGATTAATTTTGGTGGTAGTCATGTAGTTTATGTTTTAAATTATCAATAATTTATTGTTTTGGAATTCTTTTATTCGAAACGCATAACTTTTTCAAAATATTATTTTTGGGAATGTTCAGACACAAGTACCTATATATCTTATACTTCTTACCATCAATATAATTTCCTTTTTTTCTTACGTTTAACTATTGTATCGATTTCGCTTTTATTCTTGAAGGTTTTCTATTACACCTTGTATATTTTACTATAAAAAAATGACGTGAAATTGACACAATTTGATAAATAATACAATGGTTTCGTACCGGAGTATAATAATTTAATATCACGATGCATATTGTGTAGATGGCGTAATAATAATATTAATGCGGCGTAGATATTAAAAAGCAAAACGTTTTTCATTTTTTTTTTTTTAATAAAACACTTCTTTTAAGAGTGCGGTAATTTTTACATCTAAGGGTGTGCCAAGTGTTAACTTTTTGCATTGCGCTCTGGGAGAGAGTAAAATCAATATTCGAGTGTCATTTATATAATATTTATATCTACATCCCTCAATGCAGTAATGGATTTTAGAGTGGGCACGTCACATCGGTTATCACCTGCCTCCCCCCCTCCCTGGACACTGAAGTACCGTTTTCCTTCTTACACCAGCTGCACTGATTAAACATTTCGTATTTTATTAAATTATTAACTCACGTACCTACCTATTCGTCTGTTTTGTGTGTATATTGTGCAGAGTTGATACCTACAGAACAGTCGTAAACAGATGGATGGGGAGAGAGACGATTTCATCAAACAGTAATAATTGTTATTATGAAGTTAACGGTTTTTCTAATGCGTAAAAAACCATCTGTGTTTTGAAAATAATTGAACACGGAAAGTTTTCGTTTTTTTTTTTTGCCAAACGATAAAAAAAACATAATAATTAATAGTACAGGCATATTGAGGGCGGTTGCCGGCAACTGTTTTTGTTGTCATTAAACTAGCACCTAAGACTAAATCTAGTTTACCGAGACTACAAAAAAACTCTCACATGCAATCGAATAGGTTTTTAATACTCCGAAAGTCTGTCACCACAACACAACTACCGTCACCTATTCCTCGCTGTTTGAAATCAGAAATGACAGTAGGTATAGCTTTAATGCCGGTGAAAACTTCGATTTAGAAATTAGAAAACGACCCTCCTTTTTTGTATCTCTGCGATATTATTATGTGCGCACAAAAGCTCGTGCCATTATTACGAACAAGACCAAAGGACTTGAGCTCAATGCTGCATCGGAAGCCCTCGCTGTAGACTGCGATATATTATAAGGTTTAGCTATAAAATATTTATTGCCATAATTTCGATTTCGACGGCCGATAAAATAAGTCGCAAGGAAAGCATAAAAACG